CCACCCCACCCCACCCCAGCCATCTCCTTTCAAATTCTTGTCCTTGCCAAATCCCCACCCTGTTGTTCCTCCTGGTAAAATCTCTAGAGAAAAATAACTTGGTAAAATTTTGAAGAAGTTAGACAGATAAACAATAGTTTTTAAGAAATACATAATTCAAAGGGTGTTTTGTTTCCAATTCTGGCTAAGATTAAAGACCAAAATGAGGCCAATGTTTCTCATGGACAAGCAGGCCTGCCCTAAGCCTCTACCTGCCTGTTTATACAGACACTAAGGCTAGCAGCTTTAAATATCAGTTTTGTTACCCTGTAAGGTTTGATGTATTCATATTTCAGAAGTCTTTATCCGAAGGGTGTCTACCTGATTCAGGTCTGTTCTGTAGCGACACAAAAAGATGGTAACTTTAATGAATACTGCATGGTTTGAATAGTAATGGATACTTGGCGACGGGCTCTGCTCCATTCTCTGAAGTTGTGTTGCATAATAATACATTTACATGAAGAATGGAACGGACAAACCAGGTGTTACGTTTTGACGTGACAGGTGAATTATGAAATCATCCAATCTTTATCCTACAGATCAAGGAGGTGAAAAAATCTGAAATACTGTTTACTTGTAAACATGATTCTGGAAATGTCAACACGCCTGTTTATCAGCAGAAACGTTACACAGAAATTTTGGCAAATGTTTACAGAAGAATGGATTAATGGAGTGTATGATTCATAAATTTGAACAGTCCACCTGACCTGAGACAAAGGTATACAAGTTTCCTCAACTGTTCTATGTTAACTGCAGTACAAGGACATGTTTCCACCAGAACAGACATCATATTTGGATTTTAGTCCAGCAATCCTTGGCTTTTATTAGTACCTCGGAAACTTCAGCTCGGATATTTAACGAGCTAAATCAATGGAGCTACAGGTGATTTAACAGCCGCCTTTGTTGATACCAGCATCTTCTAGGAATACCCCTGTCTGTTGTAAAACAATGGAGTTGGATTCGGAGTCTGTAACTTTGTGATTCAGAGAGATTCTGTGGAGGATATAGGTACAAAAGGTGTGTGTCAAGTTCTGTGTGGATATTTTCAAATGAGGCCGTGGATTTAATGTGGAATCTCCTGAACAGAGATATTCATAATTTGAAACTGTTATCTTTGTGAGGAAATGCTGGATAAACATTACAGTGCAGTCTCTCTGTAGAAATATATAACATAAAAATATGAGTGCTAAGTCACGACTAGTTCCGAATCGCCGGTGTAAGACTGCGGCTGCATACAGGCCCCGCCGGTCAACATGTGACACCTATTATACTAACTACATCCGTCAGACAGGTGGGAAAAACTTTGAGGTAAGTGTTTTTGTTGACCTGACTCACCTGGTCAAGCACTTTTGTGGTTGATTGATCTTTCAATTAAATACAAAAAGCACATAGAATTTATGTTTTTCATTTGTGTTTCATAATCAGCAATCATTTAAATGCAAAACTTGCCTCATCTGTTTAAACCTGTCTCCTAATATTGCCTCAAGTTTTTGTGTCGTGCCTGCGAGGCGACATATAGGTATTACTTAGTCAGCGTCGTTGTCGACTTCTTTAACAAGGTTTCCCCACGATAACTTGAGTTCCCTTGGGTTGATTGAACTCAAACTTCATACAGTGCTTTCTTACTAAAAGGGCTTGCTTGGGAATACTTTTCAGGTCCGAAGATTAAAGATCATGGTCAACGTGACTATAAATAAAAAATCTGTTTCCGTGCATGAACCCAAACTTCAAACAATGCTTCCTTACTAAAATTGCTTGCTTGGGATTGCTTTTCAGGTCCGAAGTCAAAGGTCAAGGTCACCGTTACTATAAATAGAAAATCTGTTTTGGGTAATAAGTCCAGTTTCCTTGGGGCAATCAACCTCAAAACTTCACACTGACTGCAGGCTACATGCATATCCACCCTTTTGGAATTCTTGTTTAGCTCATATCCGTCATCATCCATAAGTCTTAATAATCACTGAAGCGACTGACGTACTCCAAGCTCGGTTCAAATCTGAACTTCTGAACATCTTAAATAGCGCGCCTCACTAGCCTTTGATAAGCTGAGACATTTTCAGCTTCTCGAGACCAGCTGCTGCAATTGACTCAAAACTTGTGGTACAAGTACAGTGTTTTTACATCACTTTTTGTGCCAATCTGAAAGTCCAAGATGGCTGCTCTGGTTACCGTCTTCTAAATCCCTCTATGAACTTAAACACAAATGCTAATAAACCAATTTCATTGAAACTTCGTTAGTTTGACTATCTGTTATTTTGGAATAAAATCAAAATATAATATTTCCCCACTCAAAAAAGATTTTTGTTTTCTTAATTATTTCAAATTGTGGAATCACGACATCAGATAGTGTAGATTATAAGCTTGATCACATTACTTTATGATGTCACATAAAGTGATATATAGTGAGGTACAGATCAAGGCCACTCTCTGTCATCCTTGATACCCAGGGGTTACGCTCACTGTCGCTCTCTACACCCCTGGAATCATCCTCGATACCCAGGGGTTACGCTCACATTCCCTCTCTACACCACTGGAATCATCCTTGATACCCAGGGGTTATGCTCACTTTCGCTCTCTACACCCCTGGAATCATCCTTGATACCCAGGGGTTACGCTCACATTCGCTCTCTACACCCCTGGAATCATCCTCGATACCCAGGGGTTACGCTCACTTTCACTCTCTACACCCCTGGAACCATCCTCGATACCCAGGGGTTATGCTCACTTTCACTCTCTACACCCCTGGAACCATCCTCGATATCATGGGGTTACGCTCACTGTCGCTCTCTACACCCCTGGAATCATCGTTGATACCCAGGGGTTATGCTCACTTTCACTCTCTACACCCCTGGAATCATCCTCGATATCTAGGGGTTACGCTCACTCTCCTCTCTACACCCCTGGAACCATCCTCGATATCATGGGGTTACGCTCACTTTCCTCTCTACACCCCTGGAATCATCGTTGATACCCAGGGGTTACGCTCACATTCGCTCTCTACACCACTGGAATCATCCCTGATACCCAGGGGTTACGCTCCCATTCGCTCTCTACACCACTGGAATCATCCCTGATACCCAGGGGTTACGCTCACATCCGCTCTCTACACCACTGGAATCATCCCTGATACCCAGGGGTTACGCTCCCATTCGCTCTCTACACCACTGGAATCATCCCTGATACCCAGGGGTTACGCTCACTTTCGCTCTCTACACCCCTAGAATATGTCATAGCAAAATTGAAGACTCAGTGTGCGACTCCTTGTTGATGAGACAACAGGGTAGTGAACATAGACGGTCGGACACCCTAACCCTCGGCCACTGTGACCCATTCTATGATCACCATTTACAACAATAAACTATTATCAATATGTTACGTACAGTATAATTGTTAGCTCACCAGTCCAAACGACAAGGGAGTTTATGGTAGGATCCATTTCTGTGTGTGCTGCCTCTTTTTTATCACCTTAAAAAAAGAATTGTGTGTGTGTGTGTGTGTGTGTGTGGGGGGGGGGGGGGGGGGGGGGGAGTTAGAGTTATCATGGAGCATGTCCATTCATTAACCTGAGAAAGAACAATCATACAAAGTGTAAACTTGGTGTGCCTGTTGCCCTGAGTAATAAAAAGATTCCTATTGATTTTGGGAATATTCTGCCAAGGTCAAGGTCACAGTTGCTAATAATAGATCATCAGTTAGCTAACAGTTGGCTCATCAGAAATGCACCAGCAGGTTCTGGGTTTGAATCCCACGTTGGTTCATTGCTTGTCTAGTTATTAATTGGTGCTGTGACTCGGACTATTTCAGTGATCCTTACATAAAGCTGTTCTAAGATCAGCAGTATTTAGAGTGAAACCATTATATATATATTTGTGTGTATACTGGACTGGGTTAATCGTTCAGATCCAGGTAGCTCAAATGGTAGAGCGTCTGTCTAGAGTTTTGAAGGTCTTGGGTTTGAATCGCGGTCTGGCTGTTCTTTTTCTTTTCCTTTTACATACATGTGTATTGTAATTAGTTACGTTAAATTCAGTGATATGCTATTATATGTTTCACCCTTTTTCACTGAAGCTGGATCAAAAGTGGAATTTCATTGGATGCCTGATTGACCAATGACAAATTAAAATGGATACCTATCGTGCTAGGTAGTTATTTGTTTTCTCTTTTTTTTAGCCTAGTACAGTGCAGAATGCTGTCATGGTCCTCGGAATTCATCGGTCAAAATCAGAGGTGGATATCAACAGTGTGATCTCTAATGATTCTGCTACCTCTATGAAGGTAATAATGATTCTTTGGTACATGTATGAACAGACATCGTTACATTTTTGTTGTATCTGAGATAAAGAATTACACAGCAGAACGGTCTAATTACACCCCGGTGTTTTACCGACAATTCCTATTGACTCATTCACGACTGAAGACACATTTGAACTCTTCCAATTCAAAGGTTGGAATAGTTCATTATGATGTTTCAGGGGTGAATCAGTTAAACATCACTTTGTACTAAATAGAACCACTACAATAATATTGTTATGGTAAACACACTTTGTAGTATAACAAGAATGAAAACAATATATTCTATTTACACTCCCTCCCCTTTTGCCTGATTTGCAATAGGGATGGGGTGGAGGCTAGGGGTTGGGATTAGGAAGGGATTTGGTGAGGGATGGGGGGTAGGGGTTAGGTATAGAGTTGGGAGAGAACACAGGTGAGGGATGGGGGGTAGGGGTTAGGTATGGAGCTGGGAGGGAACACAGGTGAGGAATGGGGGTGGGGTAGGGGTTAGGTATGGAGTTGGGAGGGAACACAGGTGAGGGATGGGGGGTAGTGGTTAGGTATGGAGTTAAGAGGGAACACAGGTGTTGGATGGGGGTGGGGTAGGGGTTTGGTATGGAGTTAAGATGGAACACAGGTGTGGGATGGGGGTGGGGGGTAGGGGTTTGGTATGGAGTTGAGAGGGAACACAGTTGTGGGATGGGGGTGGGGGGTAGGGGTTTGGTATGGAGTTAAGAGGGAACACAGGTGTGGGATGGGGGTGGGGGTAGGGGTAAGGTATGGAGTTAAGAGGGAACACAGGTGTGGTATGGGGTAGGGGAGTAGGGGTTCGGTCTGGAGTTAAGAGGGAACACAGGTGTGGGATGGGGGTGGGGTAGGGGTTAGATATGGAGTTAAGAGGAAACACATGTGTGGGATGGGGATGGGGGGTAGGGGTTAGGTATGGAGTTAGGAGGGAAAACAGGTGTGGGATTGGGGTGGGGAGTAGGGGTTTGGTATGGAGTAAAGAGGGAACACAGGTGTGGGATGGGGGTGGGGGGGTAGGGGTTAGGTATGGAGTTGAGTGGGAACACAGTTGTGGGATGCACTAGGTCCCCCTGTTTCTTATCCTTTGTAGAAATTTATGGTAATATGGATCTTCAATACTAGTTTATGTTATAAGCTCACAATAGGAAATATTCCCTTGTGTAAATTTACTTCTGTCTCCCTTATTAATGAACACAACAGTTACACCATTTCTGATTATGTTTTCAGCGGTCACAGACACACCTATTTGTGTCAACAAAGGTTGGCGAACACATTAAACCGGAGATGTTTTCCTTGCCACGCGAGGAGGCAAGACTTGCTACAACAACTTTACCCAAGAAAGGTCTGATCAAACTTACGGCCCTTGAAGATGAGCTTGAGGGAACTTTTAATTTTGGAATACACAATGGACGCGATGGTAAGGCCTGCGAGATATTAGCTGCTTTTGAGATAAATTTCTGTTTTTGTAATAAACTTTTGAAGTTAAATTCAATACTCAATCTCCAATCACAATACAGTTGCTCAAACCATGTAAGCTGACTGGTCAATATTCTCTTTAAAATTAATTTTCATATACTTTTGATATACTCATTATTAACTAAATATTGTTATTTTCACCCCAGTCATATTTTCACGCTTCACCAACAAAAGTCAGTTTTCATTATATATTTCACAATCAAAATTCTATTTATAGTACCGGTAAGTAATGTACAGAGAAATGCAGTAATGATTGCTATCATGATAAATTGATTCTCTCATTATGCATACATGCGGACAAGAAGGGCATAATTTAAACTGCAGTAATAATTTCCGAGTGCACAATACCAACTTTTGGAAATATCATAACAGATACATCTGACATGGAGGAGATAGAGCGCCAAAGACGTAGGCACAGTGCGTCCCAGGGCAAACACAAAATGCTGTTCCGGCGCAAGAATATCCAGGACCAGATTATAGCAGGAAATCAACTCCTGGAGGAAGAGGAAAGACAGAAAGAGGAACAGGTGGACATGGATAAAGCACTAGAGGAATACACAATGGGGGAACTATCTCAAAACCTCACACAGTTTATTGTAAGTAGGGGCCCACCATGGAGGAACTATCTCAAAACCTCGCACAGTTTATTGTAAGTAGGGGCTCACCATGGGGGAACTATCTCAAAACCTCACTCATTTTATTGTAAGTAGGGGCTCACCATGGAGGAACTATCTCAAAACCTCGCACAGTTTATTGTAAGTAGGGGCTCACCATGGGAGAATTATCCAAAAACCTCACACAGTTAATTGTACGTAGGGACTCACCATGGAGGAACTATCTCAAAACCTCACACAGTTAATTGTTAGTAGGGACTCACCATGGAGGAACTATCTCAAAACCTCACACAGTTAATTGTTAGTAGGGACTCACCATGGAGGAACTATCTCAAAACCTCACACAGTTAATTGTTAGTAGGGACTCACCATGGAGGAACTATCTCAAAACCTCACACAGTTAATTGTAAGTAGGGACTCACCATGGGGGAACTATCTCAAAACCTCACACAGTTAATTGTAAGTAGGGACTCACCATGGGGGAACTATCTCAAAACCTCACACAGTTAATTGTAAGTAGGGACTCACCATGGGGGAACTATCTCAAAACCTCACACAGTTAATTGTAAGTAGGGACTCACCATGGGGGAACTATCTCAAAACCTCACACAGTTAATTGTAAGTAGGGACTCACCATGGGGGAACTATCTCAAAACCTCACACAGTTAATTGTAAGTAGGGACTCACCATGGGGGAACTATCTCAAAACCTCACACAGTTAATTGTAAGTAGGGACTCACCATGGGGGAACTATCTCAAAACCTCACACAGTTAATTGTAAGTAGGGACTCACCATGGGGGAACTATCTCAAAACCTCACACAGTTAATTGTAAGTAGGGACTCACCATGGGGGAACTATCTCAAAACCTCACACAGTTAATTGTAAGTAGGGACTCACCATGGGGGAACTATCTCAAAACCTCACACAGTTAATTGTAAGTAGGGACTCACCATGGGGGAACTATCTCAAAACCTCACACAGTTAATTGTAAGTAGGGACTCACCATGGGGGAACTATCTCAAAACCTCACACAGTTAATTGTAAGTAGGGACTCACCATGGGGGAACTATCTCAAAACCTCACACAGTTAATTGTAAGTAGGGACTCACCATGGGGGAACTATCTCAAAACCTCACACAGTTAATTGTAAGTAGGGACTCACCATGGGGGAACTATCTCAAAACCTCACACAGTTAATTGTAAGTAGGGACTCACCATGGGGGAACTATCTCAAAACCTCACACAGTTAATTGTAAGTAGGGACTCACCATGGGGGAACTATCTCAAAACCTCACACAGTTAATTGTAAGTAGGGACTCACCATGGGGGAACTATCTCAAAACCTCACACAGTTAATTGTAAGTAGGGACTCACCATGGGGGAACTATCTCAAAACCTCACACAGTTAATTGTAAGTAGGGACTCACCATGGGGGAACTATCTCAAAACCTCACACAGTTAATTGTAAGTAGGGACTCACCATGGGGGAACTATCTCAAAACCTCACACAGTTAATTGTAAGTAGGGACTCACCATGGGGGAACTATCTCAAAACCTCACACAGTTAATTGTAAGTAGGGACTCACCATGGGGGAACTATCTCAAAACCTCACACAGTTAATTGTAAGTAGGGACTCACCATGGGGGAACTATCTCAAAACCTCACACAGTTAATTGTAAGTAGGGACTCACCATGGGGGAACTATCTCAAAACCTCACACAGTTAATTGTAAGTAGGGACTCACCATGGGGGAACTATCTCAAAACCTCACACAGTTAATTGTAAGTAGGGACTCACCATGGGGGAACTATCTCAAAACCTCACACAGTTAATTGTAAGTAGGGACTCACCATGGGGGAACTATCTCAAAACCTCACACAGTTAATTGTAAGTAGGGACTCACCATGGGGGAACTATCTCAAAACCTCACACAGTTAATTGTAAGTAGGGACTCACCATGGGGGAACTATCTCAAAACCTCACACAGTTAATTGTAAGTAGGGACTCACCATGGGGGAACTATCTCAAAACCTCACACAGTTAATTGTAAGTAGGGACTCACCATGGGGGAACTATCTCAAAACCTCACACAGTTAATTGTAAGTAGGGACTCACCATGGGGGAACTATCTCAAAACCTCACACAGTTAATTGTAAGTAGGGACTCACCATGGGGGAACTATCTCAAAACCTCACACAGTTAATTGTAAGTAGGGACTCACCATGGGGGAACTATCTCAAAACCTCACACAGTTAATTGTAAGTAGGGACTCACCATGGGGGAACTATCTCAAAACCTCACACAGTTAATTGTAAGTAGGGACTCACCATGGGGGAACTATCTCAAAACCTCACACAGTTAATTGTAAGTAGGGACTCACCATGGGGGAACTATCTCAAAACCTCACACAGTTAATTGTAAGTAGGGACTCACCATGGGGGAACTATCTCAAAACCTCACACAGTTAATTGTAAGTAGGGACTCACCATGGGGGAACTATCTCAAAACCTCACACAGTTAATTGTAAGTAGGGACTCACCATGGGGGAACTATCTCAAAACCTCACACAGTTTATTGTAAGTAGGGGCTCACCATGGGGGAACTATCTCAAAACCTCACACAGTTTATTGTAAGTAGGGGCTCACCATGGGGGAACTATCTCAAAACCTCACACAGTTTATTGTAAGTAGGGAGCACCATAGGGGAATTATCCCAAAACCTCACAGTTTATTGTAAGTAGGGAGCACCATAGGGGAATTATCCCAAAACCTCACAGTTTATTGTACGTAGGGGCTCACCATGGGGGAACTATCTCAAAACCTCACACAGTTTATTGTAAGTAGGGGCTCACCATGGGGGAACTATCTCAAAACCTCACACAGTTTATTGTAAGTAGGGAGCACCATAGGGGAATTATCCCAAAACCTCACAGTTTATTGTAAGTAGGGAGCACCATAGGGGAATTATCCCAAAACCTCACAGTTTATTGTACGTAGGGGCTCACCATGGGGGAACTATCTCAAAACCTCACACAGTTTATTGTAAGTAGGGGCTCACCATGGGGGAACTATCTCAAAACCTCACACAGTTTATTGTAAGTAGGGGCTCACCATGGGAGGACTATCCCAAAACCTCACACAGTTTATTGTAAAACGGGGCTCACCATGGGAGAATTATCCCAAAATCTCACTCAGTTTGTTGTAATTAGGGGCTCACCATGGAGGAACTATCCCAAAACCTCACTCATTTTATTGTAAGTAGGAGCTCACCATGGGGTAAATATTCCAAACTTCACACAGTTTATTGTAAGCAGGGGCTCACCATGAGGGAACTATCCAAAACCTCACACAGTTCATTGTAGGTAGGGGCTCACCATGAGGAACTATCCCAAACCTCATACAGTTAATTGTATGTAGGGGCTCATCATAGGGAAACTATCCCGAACCTCACACAGTTTATTGTAAGTAGGGGCTCACCATGAGGAACTATCCCAATCCTCACACAGTTAATTGTACGTAGGGGCTCACCATGAGGAACTATCCCAAACCTCACACAGTTTATTGTACGTAGTGGCTCACCATGAGGAACTATCCCAAACCTCACATAGTTTATTTTAAGTAGGGGCTCCCCATGAGGAACTATCCCAAACCTCACATAGTTTATTTTAAGTAGGGGCTCCCCATGAGGAACTATCCCAAACCTCACATAGTTTATTTTAAGTAGGGGCTCACCATGGAGGAACTATCCCAAAACCTCACACAGTTTATTGTAAGTAGGGACTCACCATGGGGGAACTATCTCAAAACCTCACACAGTTAATTGGAAGAAGGGACTCACCATGGGGGAACTATCTCAAAACCTCACACAGTTAATTGTAAGTAGGGACTCACCATGGGGGAACTATCTCAAAACCTCACACAGTTAATTGTAAGTAGGGACTCACCATGGGGGAACTATCTCAAAACCTCACACAGTTTATTGTAAGTAAGGGCTCGCCATGGGGGAATTATCCCAAAACCTCACACAGTTTATTGTAAGTAGGGGCTCACCATGAGGAACTATCCCAAACCTCACACAGTTTATTGTACGTAGGGGCTCACCATGAGGAACTATCCCAAACCTCACATAGTTTATTTTAAGTAGGGGCTCACCATGAGGAACTATCCCAAACCTCACACAGTTTATTGTAAGTAGGGGCTCACCATGGAGGAACTATCCCAAAACCTCACACAGTTTATTGTATGTAGGGGCTCACCATGAGGAACTATCCCAATTCTCACACAGTTAATTGTACGTAGGGGCTCACCATGAGGAACTATCCCAAACCTCACATAGTTTATTGTAAGTAGGGGCTCACCATGGGGTAACTGTCCCAAACCTAACACAGTTTATTGTAAGTAGGGGCTCACCATTGGGGAACTATCCCAAACCTCACATAGTTTATTGTTAGTAGGGGCTCACCATGGTGAACTATCCCAAACCTCACACAGTTTATTGTAAGAAGGGGCTCACCATGGGGGAACTATCCCAAACCTCACACAGTTTATTGTAAGTAGGGGCTCACCATGGGGGAACTATCCCAAATCTCACATAGTTTATTGTTAGTAGGGGCTCACCATGGGGAAACTGTATCAAACAAAAACATGATTCCTGTTATTGTGTGTGTCATTTATTAAGATCCGATGTAGACAATGACAAACCCTGTAACATGTACATAGTACAAACTATAGTCAAATAGCAAGGGAAGTAACTCTTAAACAAAATTATTACCACTTTAACAGACTTACAATATATCTTTTGATATGAGATCTGACTCTGTATATATATAATTTCTCAAAAGTATACATATATTACAGATTATATTCCATAAATCCTCGTTTATAAATGTTACTTAAAAGATGAATAGCATACCTGTATGTGTGTATGGCACAGGTCCATGGCACAGGTCCATGGCACAACTCATTCAATTTGATGTACATGTATTAGCTGATCGTAGATCATAAAGATGCTTACAGTATTTATGGAATTTTATGACTGCAATTCTAACCACAGTTTTTCTGACTGATTGTGTCACAGTAACTTTAAACATCATACATTTGTATCATTAGAAGAGGCTTACTATGGGAGGCCTACCATGGGAGACCTATCCTAGGACGTTAAACAGCTGTGTATAGAATAGGTTACCATTGGGAACAACTATCCCAAAACATTGCTCAGTATATTGATAGAAGGGCCTCACCATTTAGGGACTGTGTCAAAACATCTAACACTACATTTTATGTAGAGGTACACCCCAAAACATCTAACACTACATTTTATGTAGAGATACATCCCAAAACAACTAACACTACATTTTATGTAGAGATACATCCCAAAACAACTAACACTACATTTTATGTAGAGATACATCCCAAAACAACTAACACTACATTTTATGTAGAGATACACCCCAAAACATCTAACACTACATTTTATGTAGAGATACATCCCAAAACATCTAACACTACATTTTATGTAGAGATACACCCCAAAACATCTAACACTACATTTTATGTAGAGATACATCCCAAAACATCTAACACTACATTTTATGTAGAGATACACCCCAAAACATCTAACACTACATTTTATGTAGAGATACATCCCAAAACATCTAACACTACATTTTATGTAGAGATACACCCCAAAACATCTAACACTACATTTTATGTAGAGATACATCCCAAAACATCTAACACTACATTTTATGTAGAGATACACCCCAAAACATCTAACACTACATTTTATGTAGAGATACATCCCAAAACATCTAACACTACATTTTATGTAGAGATACACCCCAAAACATCTAACACTACATTTTATGTAGAGATACATCCCAAAACATCTAACACTACATTTTATGTAGAGATACACCCCAAAACATCTAACACTACATTTTATGTAGAGATACATCCCAAAACATCTAACACTACATTTTATGTAGAGATACACCCCAAAACATCTAACACTACATTTTATGTAGAGATACATCCCAAAACATCTAACACTACATTTTATGTAGAGATACACCCCAAAACATCTAACACTACATTTTATGTAGAGATACATCCCAAAACATCTAACACTACATTTTATGTAGAGATACACCCCAAAACATCTAACACTACATTTTATGTAGAGATACATCCCAAAACATCTAACACTACATTTTATGTAGAGATACACCCCAAAACATCTAACACTACATTTTATGTAGAGATACATCCCAAAACATCTAACACTACATTTTATGTAGAGATACACCCCAAAACATCTAACACTACATTTTATGTAGAGATACATCCCAAAACATCTAACACTACATTTTATGTAGAGATACACCCCAAAACATCTAACACTACATTTTATGTAGAGATACATCCCAAAACATCTAACACTACATTTTATGTAGAGATACACCCCAAAACATCTAACACTACATTTTATGTAGAGATACATCCCAAAACATCTAACACTACATTTTATGTAGAGATACACCCCAAAACATCTAACACTACATTTTATGTAGAGATACATCCCAAAACATCTAACACTACATTTTATGTAGAGATACACCCCAAAACATCTAACACTACATTTTATGTAGAGATACATCCCAAAACATCTAACACTACATTTTATGTAGAGATACACCCCAAAACATCTAACACTACATTTTATGTAGAGATACATCCCAAAACATCTAACACTACATTTTATGTAGAGATACACCCCAAAACATCTAACACTACATTTTATGTAGAGATACATCCCAAAACATCTAACACTACATTTTATGTAGAGATACACCCCAAAACATCTAACACTACATTTTATGTAGAGATACATCCCAAAACATCTAACACTACATTTTATGTAGAGATACACCCCAAAACATCTAACACTACATTTTATGTAGAGATACATCCCAAAACATCTAACACTACATTTTATGTAGAGATACACCCCAAAACATCTAACACTACATTTTATGTAGAGATACATCCCAAAACATCTAACACTACATTTTATGTAGAGATACACCCCAAAACATCTAACACTACATTTTATGTAGAGATACATCCCAAAACATCTAACACTACATTTTATGTAGAGATACACCCCAAAACATCTAACACTACATTTTATGTAGAGATACACCCCAAAACATCTAACACTACATTTTATGTAGAGATACACCCCAAAACATCTAACACTACATTTTATGTAGAGATACACCCCAAAACATCTAACACTACATTTTATGTAGAGATACACCCCAAAACAACTAACACTACATTTTATGTAGAGATACACCCCAAAACATCTAACACTACATTTTATGTAGAGATACACCCAAAAACATCTAACACTACATTTTATGTAGAGATACACCCAAAAACAATTAATTGTTTCTACTGTTTCTTGTTCATTGTTCAATTTATTGGTTGGCTGTGGTACTTATCTCAGTAGCTAATCAACATCTAGTATACTTGTATTATTGGTGGGTTGTGGTACTTACCTCAGCAGCCAATCAGCATCTAGTATACATGTATTTGTATTATTGGTGGGTTGTGGTACTTTCCTCAGCAGCTAATCAACATCTAGTATACAAGTATAATTGGTGAGTTGTGGTACTTACCTCAGCAGCCAATCAGCATCTACAAGTATTATTGGTGGGTTGTGGTACTTACCTCAGCAGCCAATCAGCATCTAGTATACATGTATTTGTATTATTGGTGGGTTGTGGTACTTACCTCAGCAGCCAATCAGCATCTAGTAAACATGTATTTGTACTATCGGTGGGTTGTGGTACTTATCTCAGCAGCCAATCAGCATCTAGTATACATGTATTTGTATTATTGGTAGGTTGTGGTACTTACCTCAGCAGCCAATCAACATCTAGTATACATGTATGTCCAGTATGATGCCTGTCTCGTTCAGCGAAGTATGTTCACATTGAGGCAGTATGTGATGGGTTTTTTTGTTGTTTACAGGGTAGCAGTAAAAAGAAAACTGGGTCAAGTGTTGCAACTGTAAGGTCAAAGGGCAAAGTGTACGAACAGGTCGAGGAACCTAAGCAGCAAAGGACAATAACTCTGCCTGCTATTAACACACTAAATATCAATGTGTTCGGGAGCTAGTGGTGTGAACACGTGGATATTCCAATAATAATGTTGACAACAGCAGTGTGAACTTTTATTAAGTACACCAATCAAATCTGGATTTTGCACCTCATGTTAGTTGGGGAGATTACTTTACGCAATATTTTACTGCCAGTACTAGCACAACTGACCTGATGGGAACCTTTCTAGAACAACTTCAACTGTGATTACAAATTATTACATACAATTCATAGTGTGTGCATTTCAAAATGGTATTTCGGATCCACAGTGAGAAATTTAACACATATCATTGTTTGAAACTGGTCAAAATGTTCAATTTTTCGGGTACTTTGTAGTTAATCATGAGAATTTCTTTTCTCCCATTACATCTATTTAAACGATTGTTTCTTGAAATATTTTTATACTAGGATTTCAGTAATCTTAGATGATATTATTGTTCAGTTATCTGCAATCAACATGGTAAGGTGTTGTTGAGGTCAGGGTCACTGGGGGGTGAGGTCAGTAAGAATTAATCTTGGCACTTTTAGGGGTCAAAGGTCATTTATCCATTTATTGTATTTATTCAAAGATCAACCACTAAATACTTTGGTGTTTTTTCAGGATGTTTATTGAACATTTGTTAAAAGTTCATACCAAAAAGACACAATTTTAGGAGAGGAGTTTTATCGTCAGATATGTAAGGATTCAGGAATTTCAGATTTTTGGAGGAATGTTCCAGAATTTGGTATGGAGTTTAAAATATTTTGACGTTCATTTAAGGGGTCTGGTTGAGGGAGCAATGAAGAATTTTGTTATACAGGGATTCTGAAACTTTTTAGTGATTATAGTTTCTTTTACATAGAGAGTCTTCTCCTAATCTTTGTTTTAGTAGGAATAAGTTAGAAAAATAAGGGGTTAAGTTTTTTATTTGAAGAATTTAATGGCATTTTGAGTGAATAATTTAAACTGTTTAGAAGTACATCATGATATAGAGTTAATTTGTTGTATATATAGATTTAATATGTGAAGCTTGATGTACTATATTGAGTTTTTTGTTTGTGTTGATAACATATGTTTTAATCAAACAAGAGAC